GGAACAAACCGTACAATTTACGTGGCGATTCGTACAATTTCAGTTCCGTCTCACACTTTGTATTGAATTTTACTTCGCTCGCGGATTACGTTTCGAAACGTAATTTTTACGTTTTTTTCTGTTAATTTTTATTGAATGTTCCTCTCCGTGTAATTTTCAAAAAAATTCTGTCAGTGCGTCCTCTCCGAATGACAGTTGATCAATAAAGAACTGATTAATCCCCCCGTACAATAATCTTGCTGAATAATCCGCAAAAATGTACGATGCCTCAACACCATCTCATTACTTTCATATTTCTGTTCATCTCAAGAATATTTCGCTGAAACCCAAGCAGGCTAAGAAAACGTTGAAGGTAAAGGGAGGAGGAGGATGGGGGCAGCTCGAGCATTAACTGACGACGTTTTCCAAAAGATAGAGAGGCAAACCGTTAGGTTTTCGTTGGGGCCCCGAGAATGGATCCTTGTAAGACGTTTTAATTGGACAAATCCGCCTATCCTCATTAAATCCAGTCCTCACTGGGTACTCGTCCATGGAGCCACCACGTAAACTTCAACTTGAACATTTCTATTCGGCTTCACGATACCTCTGCCCTTATCATAAACGACGATATCCTGTCATCTTTGTGTTATTCCTACTTAGGTGGAATTGAAAATCTCCCAATCCGTCCCCCCGTCTATCTCCCTCCAATGGTTCACCCACGTTGCTTTCAACCCCGTCGATTTCGCTTTGCCGGGTGGAGGTTCTCTTTCTCTCTCTTTCTCTCTCGTGGTTATAATCCCCTTCTTCTGCACTTCTTGATCTACTGAGAATTGGTACTTTGCTCTCATCAGCATCAGATGGGATTTTGGATTATCATTTTTATTTTTTTTTCAATTTGGGTTTATTATTGATGGCCGTCAAAGTCGAGAAGGCTGGGCAGGATTGATTATTTTCGGTACACAGGGGACTAAGGTTTCTAGTTTTTCTGGATAAATCACTGGATTTCAGAAATTTCTGATGATGAAATCTAACGCGCATGAACAAATTTCATAGAAAACACAATTCATTGAAAATTGTAGAATTTATTGACCTGAGTTGTCTTGATTTCTGTCAATTTTCATGGAATTGATTTCCTTTCTAGAAATGGATAGAATTGTCCGAATAATTCAGGTCGGTTTTCTTCGAACAAAGTTGATTAGAATTAATAGGTAAAATTATGAGATGATCTCATATTTTTAACGTTAAGGATAGGAGAATCTGAATGCAATATAATGAAAATGATAATCGATTTTCTCACTTTGAACAAATAATATTAATATCCAAATATAAAATCCCTGATATGAATAAAAAGAAGCTGTGACTCAATATTCCAAATGAAGTTTTAATTTTTAATTTGGTGCTGAAAACACGAGATGACAATATTCTGAGCACGAAATTATATTGATGAGATGAACAACAGATTAATCTAATTACCGTGTGAACTAACTAAAAATTGATAACCGTGTGGGCACGCCCTTTTACCAGAGTATCAACAAACATTGAATTCTAAAAATTCACACTCTAAAGTGTATTCAGTGAGCATATGAATTAGAACATGAGCAAATAATTTATTGTAATATGAAAATTTAACAGCTGATAAATTGGAACATGATGCTCACCGGTCGCATTGCTTTTTGCAATGAGAATGATTATAAACAATTAATTGAAAAAAGGATAATAACGAAAGGGCATCAACACTAGGGGTGGCGCTAGTTTACGCAAAATTTTGCATTTTTAATGAAGAAATTTCTTGCAATTCCAGTGAAGTTATAACGCGATTAAAATTTTACCGCAAGAATTGTACCGGAAATTTCATCCAAAATTTGTTAACTCTGTGCGAAATTTGACCCTTGCAAGATATGATGCTTGTATGATGCTTTCGCCATAATTAAAAACGGTAACGCAGCTGTCAATGAGACTTGATAGGAAATTTAATGCCGCTCTTCATGATGATGAAATTATCGGTTTGATTGCTACATGCACATAATTTCGCTCCAACTATGGCGCATAATATTGCTTAAATCATCGCAGAAAATCACTGAAAAATTTGAACGCTCACTACTCAAAAGTCAAAAATCATCCTAATTTGATAATTCCTGTGCCATTAAATTCCTGATTTTTCATTCTTCATCTCATATAGAAATTATTTCAGTAGTGAAGTGAAAACTCTTAGTTGAGTTTTTGAAGAATATCTCCGAATCTAAAGGAGATAACGAAATTTTCGTAATAACCTTTTTTCTAGAGCAAATTAAGTGCTACAAAAAAGGTCTTAATAAAAATGTAGCTCCCTCCCTTAGATTCCGAGATATTCACTGAAAAATGCTCAATAGTCAAAATCGACTTGAAGCGTTTACCACTTCGCTACTGATTTCATGTCATTTCTCTTTAGGATTGTCTCTTCTGGATAAATCCACGAGTAGATAATCCATATTTAAATTAAAATGAAGTCCTTTCATTGAATAATGAAGAACAATGCCAATCATATTCAAGACTATCGTTAAACTATCAATAATTTTAATTGATTCACTCGGCAATCCCTAAATAACTTCCGATTACGAATGATTGATGATGAAAATTAATGAGAACACTTGCCCCTCAGCCCCCCATCCGATTTCAATGCTGTCATTCATCCATTTGTATCATTCGTATCATTGTCGACGCTTGAGTTAGGGTTGACTTACACCATTTACTGGTATTTCGAAACGCTTCACAAACACGTCTCTCAGTCACTGGTGTCTTATCTCGGTTAGATAGATTTCGGTCGGATGCCTAGCGTGTGTATGCCGCGCTACCGCAACTTGCCTTTTGTTGTTATTTCGAGAAAGCTCAGGAGGAGAGACAACGTTCGTCTACAGTTTCACCTATCTCTAGCCGCAATAGAACAATATTACGTGCATTTACAAACGTATCATCCCGTTTGTCATGCTTCATCGTGTGAAACTGATTGCATTCATCGGGGAAAATTAAGAGCTCGTGTTTTCTCGTAATTCAGGGGACAAAATATATTTTTACTGTTCTAACTTTATTCCAATAATTGATAAAAAAATGGAGAAAACAGTTGGGAACGTTTCCAGTAATTTACGATCATGAATGCACGTTTAATTAATTTTTGAGTGGTCGCAGAAGAAGGGAATCCCCGCCGTTTTTCGATTTTTGCTTCCGTATGGAAGGATTGGATCCGATAAATGTGAAATTTTCAATTTTTTGTCACAGGATAACTAGTTTCAGGCCTCAGGAGTTCGAATGCGCTATTAATAGAGCGTGTTCGGATGTATATATGCAGTAGAGGGCGCCCCCTGCTCGCTCCGCACGCCAACCCCCGTATGACCTCCATGATCCCTAGTTGGACCCTTGTGACCTTTACTTTCTGACCCTTCATTTATGACCCTTGGTTTTCAACCCTTCATTTCTGATATTTGATTTTTGACGCCTGAGTTATTCCAGAAGGCAAAAGTTGAATTTTCTAGGCGACAAGACTCGAAGAATCCAAAAGTCCTTGAAAAGGCCCCGAGATGGCGTTTCGAGGAGAGAAGTCCTCTTGACGGTGGAGTACCCTAGTGGAAAAACCTAAGGCAGTGGCGTAACACGCCTGATCAGAATTTCGGATCGGACTTGATCAGTTTCTGATCAAGACCTGAACAGAATTTCCACTCGGGTATGAGTCTATTTGAGAGTGAAATTCGTAAGTGTCCTGGTAGCTCAGATGGTAAGAGCACCCGACGCGACATTGGGAGGTCCCGGGTTCGATTCCCGGCTAGGAAGTTACTAATTTTTTCTCTCAAAAAATTAAATTTAATTAATGCCTAATGATGGAAGGCGGAGAAACCCTAGTGGAAAAACCTAAGGCAGAGGCGTAACACGCCTGATCAGAATTTCGGATCGGACTTGATCAGTTTCTGATCAAGACCTGAACAGAATTTCCACTCGGGTATGAGTCAATTTGAGAGTGAAATTCGTAAGTGTCCTGGTAGCTCAGATGGTAAGAGCACCCGACGCGACATTGGGAGGTCCCGGGTTCGATTCCCGGCTAGGAAGTTACTAATTTTTTCTCTCAAAAAATTAAATTTAATTAATGCCTAATGATGGAAGGCGGAGAAACCGTAGTGGGAAAACCTAAGGCAGAGGCGTAACACGCCTGATCAGAATTTCGGATCGGACTTGATCAGTTTCTGATCAAGACCTGAACAGAATTTCCACTCGGGTAGAGAGCCCAAAAACTCGTAAGGATTTAGTTGATGGCCTGGAGATTCTGCTCTCCCGTATGGGCCTCTGGCGTCTGGAGCGCTTGTGTTGGCTGCCGCCCTCCTGCCGGCTATCTGGTTCCTGTCAGCTGTTCGACTATTTCCGGGATTCTCTGGGTCCGTCTCCTTCTGCTCCTTCTCTTCTTTTCCTTCTTCTCCTTGTCTTCTGCTTGTCTTCTTCTTCTTCTTCTTCTTCTTCTTCTGCTTCTCTGCGTCTTTTCTCGAGTGATGACTCCGAGCGTCTGGTCCGTGAGGCCGAAAAGCTCTACTTTTATAGATAGTATGAGACGCAAAAAACTCTGATTGGCTCGGCGCCGCGTGCGGCTGCTCTGATTCTGATTGGCGGAAACCTCAGTAGTGGGGGTAAAGAACCGGATTGGTTGTAATTTCATAGTGGGGGAAGAAATGATTTTTTCTTCGATCGACTGAATTGAATGCTCTCAAAGCATCATCTGTATCTAACAATCATTATGTCGATTTATGCAGGTGCAGCGCGGCGCTTACGGTGCGACCAACGGAGTAAATTTCATTCGACAAAGTCATCTTTTTAATTGTCTTTATTTTATTATCAAAAAAAAATAATTAAAAAAAATTCAGGTGTTTCGTCAATAACTGAACAATCAAATTTGGTGCGTACTGTTTTTATTTAATATCATTTGTTCTTCTTGTATTATTTACATTCAATCGTATCAGCAGTGGTAGCAATAATTATTATAATAATTGAGTAATCACCATGCTATTGATTTAAATCTAATAACGACAATAATAGTATATTATAACATTTCGGTGCTATTGGTTTTAATTACAAATAAAGTACAGCCTCTTCAATTTTAATATTTATTAGCGTTTAACATTTTTTTAGAATCGATTATCCATCGATTTGTTGATTATTTCCTCGTACGATTGTTGACAGGACTAGTTACCTACGAGGGCACAATTGCTCTCTAATCTCACTTTTTTGAACTCGTTTCGTGGTTATGGAAGTGTTTCTCTTGGAGAAATGCCTTCAGTAATCGGGGCAGTAGCACTGTCGACTAGTCTGCGTGGGCGTAGGGGTGGGGCTGGGGTGATTCACCCTCGAATAGCGCCATTTTCAGACGCTTGCACTTTGCGCGTCGATTTTTAAACCAAAATTGCACGTTCTTCGGCTCCAGGCGGGGAAATTTTTGACGATATGGCATACGATTCAACTCCTCTGTGTATTTTAGGATCAACTGGAACAAAAAATTTAATATTTGAACATTAATATTCCGACGGATTTTCTCTGACAAGACTTTTTTGATAAAGTTTGCTCAAATTTTATTCGGTTCAATATCTTTCTCAGAACGCAAAATATTGTGATTCTTCAAAAAAAACAGGAGAAAAGTTTTGACTTTAAAACTCAATTATTAGGGATTCACGATTGTGAAATTCAGGGGTGAAAAATTCAGAGGAAAATAGAATAATTCTAGTTTCTTAATATTGCATTTACTAAGACTTCCTTCGAACAAAGTTGATTAGAATTAATAGCTAGAATTATGAGATTATCTCACATTTTTGACGTTAAGGATAGGAGAATCTGAATGCAATATAGTGAGAATGATGATTGATTTTTTCAGTTTGAGCAAATAATGTTAATATCCAAATACAAAATTTCTGATGCGAATCAAAAGAAACTGTGACTCAACACCCCGGGGCACATGGACACCCCAGCCGCTTGACGGGTAAGACGGTTTTCATGAGTACAATCGTCTTGTGTCGAATTTTCATGAAGCCCGCCTAACAAACAAGAGAATTGAATACAATTCTATGAAACATGAATAAACGAATCATAATTGTCCAAATCATTTGTCAGAGGAAAATGGAATAATTCTACTTTCTTAATATTGCGTTTACTAAGATTTCCTTCGAACAAAGTTGATTAGAATTAATAGCTAGAATTATGAGATTATCTCACATTTTTGACGTTAAGGATAGGAGAATCTGAATGCAATATAGTGAGAATGATGATTGATTTTTTCAGTTTGAACAAATAATGTTAATATCCAAATACAAAATTTCTGATGCGAATCAAAAGAAACTGTGACTCAACACCCCGGGGCACATGGACACCCCAGCCGCTTGACGGGTAAGACGGTTTTCATGAGTACAATCGTCTTGTGTCGAATTTTCATGAAGCCCGCCTAACAAACAAGAGAATTGAATACAATTCTATGAAACATGAATAAACGAATCATAATTGTCCAAATCATTTGTCAGAGGAAAATGGAATAATTCTACTTTCTTAATATTGCGTTTACTAAGATTTCCTTCGAACAAAGTTGATTAGAATTAATAGCTAGAATTATGAGATTATCTCACATTTTTGACGTTAAGGATAGGAGAATCTGAATGCAATATAGTGAGAATGATGATTGATTTTTTCAGTTTGAACAAATAATGTTAATATCCAAATACAAAATTTCTGATGCGAATCAAAAGAAACTGTGACTCAACACCCCGGGGCACATGGACACCCCAGCCGCTTGACGGGTAAGACGGTTTTCATGAGTACAATCGTCTTGTGTCGAATTTTCATGAAGCCCGCCTAACAAACAAGAGAATTGAATACAATTCTATGAAACATGAATAAACGAATCATAATTGTCCAAATCATTTGTCAGAGGAAAATGGAATAATTCTACTTTCTTAATATTGCGTTTACTAAGATTTCCTTCGAACAAAGTTGATTAGAATTAATAGCTAGAATTATGAGATTATCTCACATTTTTGACGTTAAGGATAGGAGAATCTGAATGCAATATAGTGAGAATGATGATTGATTTTTTCAGTTTGAACAAATAATGTTAATATCCAAATACAAAATTTCTGATGCGAATCAAAAGAAACTGTGACTCAACACCCCGGGGCACATGGACACCCCAGCCGCTTGACGGGTAAGACGGTTTTCATGAGTACAATCGTCTTGTGTCGAATTTTCATGAAGCCCGCCTAACAAACAAGAGAATTGAATACAATTCTATGAAACATGAATAAACGAATCATAATTGTCCAAATCATTTGTCAGAGGAAAATGGAATAATTCTACTTTCTTAATATTGCGTTTACTAAGATTTCCTTCGAACAAAGTTGATTAGAATTAATAGCTAGAATTATGAGATTATCTCACATTTTTGACGTTAAGGATAGGAGAATCTGAATGCAATATAGTGAGAATGATGATTGATTTTTTCAGTTTGAACAAATAATGTTAATATCCAAATACAAAATTTCTGATGCGAATCAAAAGAAACTGTGACTCAACACCCCGGGGCACATGGACACCCCAGCCGCTTGACGGGTAAGACGGTTTTCATGAGTACAATCGTCTTGTGTCGAATTTTCATGAAGCCCGCCTAACAAACAAGAGAATTGAATACAATTCTATGAAACATGAATAAACGAATCATAATTGTCCAAATCATTTGTCAGAGGAAAATGGAATAATTCTACTTTCTTAATATTGCGTTTACTAAGATTTCCTTCGAACAAAGTTGATTAGAATTAATAGCTAGAATTATGAGATTATCTCACATTTTTGACGTTAAGGATAGGAGAATCTGAATGCAATATAGTGAGAATGATGATTGATTTTTTCAGTTTGAACAAATAATGTTAATATCCAAATACAAAATTTCTGATGCGAATCAAAAGAAACTGTGACTCAACACCCCGGGGCACATGGACACCCCAGCCGCTTGACGGGTAAGACGGTTTTCATGAGTATCGTCTTGTGTCGAATTTTCATGAAGCCCGCCTAACAAACAAGAGAATTGAATACAATTCTATGAAACATGAATAAACGAATCATAATTGTCCAAATCATTTGTCAGAGGAAAATGGAATAATTCTACTTTCTTAATATTGCGTTTACTAAGATTTCCTTCGAACAAAGTTGATTAGAATTAATAGCTAGAATTATGAGATTATCTCACATTTTTGACGTTAAGGATAGGAGAATCTGAATGCAATATAGTGAGAATGATCATTGATTTTTTCAGTTTGAACAAATAATGTTAATATCCAAATACAAAATTTCTGATGCGAATCAAAAGAAACTGTGACTCAACACCCCGGGGCACATGGACACCCCAGCCGCTTGACGGGTAAGACGGTTTTCATGAGTACAATCGTCTTGTGTCGAATTTTCATGAAGCCCGCCTAACAAACAAGAGAATTGAATACAATTCTATGAAACATGAATAAACGAATCATAATTGTCCAAATCATTTGTCAGAGGAAAATGGAATAATTCTACTTTCTTAATATTGCGTTTACTGAGATTTCCTTCGAACAAAGTTGATTAGAATTAATAGCTAGAATTATGAGATTATCTCACATTTTTGACGTTAAGGATAGGAGAATCTGAATATTAATATCCAAATACAAAATTTCTGATATGAATAAAAAGAAGCTGTGACTCAATATTCCAAATGAAGTTTCAATTTTTAATTTGATGCTGAACACACGAGTTGACAATATTCTAAACACGGAATTATATTGATGAGATGAACAACAGATTAATTGAATTACGTGTGGGCACGCACTTTTACCAGACTATCAACAAACACTGAATTCCAGAAATTCACACTCTAAAGTGTGTTCTAGAAGGAACTGAACTCCAATTATGATTGAAATCTCATTCAGTGAGCATAGCAATTAGAACATGAGCAAATCGTTCATTGTAACATGAAAATTTAACGTCTGATAAATTGGGACATATGATTCTCATCGGTCGTATTGATTTTGCAATGATAATGATTACAAACAACTAATTGAAAAAAGAAATATCGAATCGACGGAAAGAAAGGGCATTAACAAAACCTAAACTCGCCCCTCAAGTTGGTAAACGCGTGAAAATGCAGTTGTCACATTGCCGAAGTATTCAACAAATGATAATTACCGCATGACTTGGGTGAGTGTTGTGGCCGAACCAATTCTCCAGTCTCGGTACTTCCGTAACAGGATCGATGAATGTACGATTACGTTTTCTCCTCTCATCGAGCATGCTAGCCGGGCACCCAGCAGGTCCGCCTCTGGTCGGTAGATAATGTGACATGTACATAATGGAGTGACCGAACATGGGACTGGGTACCAGGGAGAAACCAGGAGGTAGTGGAGTCGTTGGCACACCGCCTGGTGAGTCCTCGTCATCGGATCCGGATGATACCCTGGTTGCACCGTCATCCTCACGTTTCACCAGCGGAGCTGACGTTGTTGTTGCCGAGGTTGGAGTTGATGTCGGGGCTATGAGGCGCTGATCCTCGGAACGTGTCGTTAAGGATAAGGGACCCACTACCGGCGGACTTCCGGCTGGACAAGGAGACGCTGAATTCGACTGAAAAATTAATAGATTGCACTGATAGAAGAAAAATAATTTCAGGCGAAAAAACTAGACGAAGTCTTCCCGAAGTCGTCTTTTAGGCTCTCTGAAGTTGAAGTGGAAATTGCATTCAAAATCACCGTAATTTATTTCAAGAACTTCTGGAAAAATAATAGCCGTCCCTGGTACCAAGGCAAAAAGCTTCCTAGAGATCTGGTTGTCTGGGTTAACAGAGCGAGATCAGATCATTACCACCTTAACAAATCACTAGAACGAATTGGAATTGTAAATAGCAAGGAGTGCACCTGTGGAGCCGAAATTCAGGACATCAATCATGTACTTTGGGAATGTCCCCAATTTCCAACGGGAAGACAAAAAATGATTGAACAGCTAATCAAAATCAAATGTCCAAGGCCCTTTACCATAGATTCACTCCTCGTTCTCAAAAGACTAGAACCTATTAAAATTATACACGAGTTTATTAAAACTAACAAGATTAGAATCTAAACGACCAAAGACTACTGTAACTAAAGTAATATAACGAGCTAAGTAAAATGGATATGTAATCATCACCCAAATGATTGTAAATAACCCATTGTAGGTTAATACATAAATAAAAAATAAAAAAAAAAATCACCGTAATAGTATATTGTGCATCAAGGGCAGAAAGGAAAGACTTTCCGCCTGAGGTGCACACGCGATTTTTTGACACGCCTGCAAAGGAAAGTTCGTATTTTGCTCTATGATGAGCGGGAGGAAAGTATGAACTTCCCGCGCAGAGGTGTCAAAAATTGTGATTTCATCACTTGTGTGTAAAGTTAAATTTTACACATGAAAAATCGGGTTTGACACTCGTAGGAAAAGTATTCTCTGACCCGTGGGAGGTGAACCACCTCCCACTGGTTACAAAATAGTATATTTCATTACGAGTGCGGAAAAGAGTTTTTTGGCTCGTGAGAGGTTTATAGCACGAGCCTTCGGTCGGAGCCTTTGTTCAAAAAACACTTTTCCCACGAGTATCGAACGATATTTTTCATCACAATGTGTGGAAAAGGGACGTTTTAGGCACGCGAAGCGAATTCCATAGGTTGTTCCGTTAAATTTTTTCGTCTGTGTAATGTTTTTAAAACAAAATTGGGGAGAAGAAAAGTTACCTGATGCCTTGAATCCTCCTCCTCATCCGAGCAATCCTCAATACTGGCGATACTAGCTCCCCTGGGACTAAGTCCAGGTGGACTATACCCATTGATCCCCCTCGTTTCCGCCCTCTTCTGCGCAGCCCTAGCATTCTTGAACCAATAAACCACGTTATTAACGTCAAGTGGCTTTCTCCCTCGTCTCGACTCCAGTGAGTTCAATTCCGCCACATAGCGCTGTATCTGCTGTCTGGAGGGATGTTGATTCTCCGCAAACCACCTCTGCAACCTGGGCAACTCCAGCTCAGGATCGAAGCTTGTTCTCATCCTAGTTTTATGGGAGTAAGGGAGCATCGCGGGATGGTGAGGACCAACCCCTCCAACGCCGCTGGACTCCACTCCAGGACTCGGATTATGCAATTGTCGGTTATTGTTAGTACATGACAGCAGTGAATTTGGTGGTCCCAGCCCAGCCATCTGCTGCTGCTGCTGTAGCCAAGCCTCGAAACTACGTCTTGTCTCCTCAGACAGCTCATTGCCACCTCTGCACAATGAAGACAGGGTCATCTGCACAAAGCCCGTAGAAATCGTAAATGATGATCGTTAATTTGGGATTATTAACTGCGTGAATACTGCAATACTCAGTCTTCATGCAGCTACACTAAACAGGGGAGTACTACTGTTGCTTCCGAATAAAAGCTTTGTAATCTTTCAAATGTAAGTTTTGGATCTTTTGTGTTATACACGGAGAGAAAAATTGAATTAAAATTGCCAGAAAAAAAATGTGGAAATTAAGTTTCGAAACGTAATCCGCGAGCGAAGTAAAAAATTCTGCGATTTGTTCCGTAAAAATTAACCAGCCGTCTGATGACTCACCGCTGTGGGGACAAGTCGTTCCGTAACTTTTCCCCAACGATTGAGAAATTTTACGCAACGGAACGGAGAAATAACTCACCAGCTTCATAAAAATTGTTGAACGTTCAAGGATTTTTGATTTTGGAGGCATGTTTCTGTAAGATTTTACTTCTTCGGGAAAAATTACGTGACAATTTCGTACTTTCAAAATTCACTAAGCGATTCAGATTTATTCTCTTCCATTCCTATAAAAATTGCCGGAAAACGATTCCCCATTGCGGATTACGTGAATTGTTCCGTAATTTTTACTGAATATTTCTCTCCGTGTATCGATTTAGTATGATCCAAAAAGTGCGAAAGTGCAATTTTTAGACCTCGTCCGTATGTGTTTATGTCTGAATTTTTTTTTGTCAAATGTAGGTGTTGGTGAGCTCTATTAATCGCCATTAATTAAAATTTAATTCATCGATGGTTTGAATTGGATGGATGAATTAAATTTTAATTCATCGATCAGGTGACTATCGAAAACCCACGAGGCCGTGGGCATCATCTCTAAGACAAATAATTTTATTTACGTCTCAATGCCATTGCACGTAGTTACCCGCTCTCATGTACCCAGGGATTATGGAAAAGTTCTTAGACGTTTTTAAATCATTCGTGAGTAACAAGTCCCTCAGTGTCTTATCATCTGTGATTTATAAGAACAAATAAAACCGCACGCAGCGGGATCAACGGTGACGCCAACTTAACGAGGTAATCTTTGGATCTGCGAGTCAGTAGCTAATGTTCGGCGTTGATGCGCTTTACGCAAATGCCGGTAAATTTAAGAGACAAGTGGTTTACGAGAGACTCGTCATCTAATCATTTGCAATCAACTTGGAGACGTGATGATGCTTCTCAATTTTTTTTTGTGACAGACATAATTGTCGGGTTCTCTCACGCAGGGGCGGCGGCACGTGAAAATTTGAGGTGTGGAGTAAATTTTTCTGCAATTTCAAGGGTCACGAGGGTCAACCGGGATAGACGGGCGGGATCATCAAGGGCAAATGGTCTCATTTTCCCTGGTTCCCCCTAATTATTTCAAAACACTGTAATACTTTTCACTTATTTTGTTTATTAATTTGTGCCTCAGACTTTGAAGGTAACATTGCAAACAGGCCTCTTCTCCTCTCCTTTCCTGAGATAAATTCATCCAAAATTTTATCCAGAGCTAACTCAGTCGTTCATTTAAAAAAAATCGAGTTTTGATCAAATTGTAGAACCATTCAGCAGCGAAGTGCTAAAACGGTTTAAGTAGACTTATCTCCCAGTTGAGTTTTTGAGGAATATTTCCGAATGTAAGGGAGATAGCGAAATTTTCGTAATTACATTTATTGTAGCACTCGATCGGCTCTACAAAAAAGGTTATTACAATAATTTTGCTATCTCCCTTAGATTCCAAGATATTCATTGAAAACTGGTTAATAGTCAAAATTGACTTGTACCGTTTTACCACTTCGCTACTGAATTATTTTTCTTTCAATTTTCTTGAGATTTGGAATTTCACACTTCAAAAATTTTGAAGTATGGAGTGACCAATAAACTCCACTGCACGGAGAGAAATGTTCCGTAAAAATTACGGAACTCATAATTCACTCACCAATTACGGAATCGACTTAGAAAATTTAAGGATGTATTACACCCTTTTCGTCAAAATTTATGTTTTTTGGATTTTTCTGTTAAATTGTTGATTTGATTGACGTGAAAAAATATACCGTTTTTGCGTTTTATAATTACTTAATGGCTCACGAAATTTCACGATCGCACAATCATTTTCCTGCGTTTTTTCTAAAACTTTTCGAAAATTCACAAAACTTTAGAAAAAATGCAGGAAAATGATTGCACTATCATGAAACTTCGTGAGTCAGTCAATAATGATAAAACGCAAAAACGGTATATTATTTCGCGTCAATGCGATCAATAATTTGCCAGAAAAGTGAAACAACGTGAATTTTGGCCGAAAAGGTGTAGTAAATCCTTAAGTGACGGTATCGTAATTTTTTACAGGAGATTCAGATAAAAATTACGGAACGCTCCGGAAAAATTCCGTGACAGTTGCGTAAAATTTCGTACAAACACATTTCACTCCGGCATTACGGAAAAGATACGTAATTTTTATTGAATATTTCTCTCTGCGTGTGGTTCGGCCGCCCCTGCTCTCACGTCTTTCGGCTTGGATAGGGCTTCAATCTGATGGCTAGTGGTGACACGCGCGTGAGCTATTTTTTTTAAATTCTCAAATCGGTTGGTAAACAGACGGGTGGTGACGCCCGGCTTATCTCGCCGAGAGATGGCTTCGGGTCTGATTTACTGCAGGTGTGATACGCAGGCTCGTGATGATGACAATCCACGGTATTTTTCTTTCGCGCTTCAGGGCTCTTGGAGGCTTCGCGTGGTTTCGGTAGGAGGATTGTAAATCAATGACGAGGATAGAGGTTGATGATGAAATGTTTGGATTATTCGGGAGGAAGATTTGGGTAGTGTCGGGAGGGGGGGGGATGTGCAGAGAGAGCTAAATTTCAAGGAATTTAGGTTCTGATTTCTTCATTCAGCTTCAATTTATGGGTCTCATGCGGTTACTGTTGGAGGCTGACAATTCAGTGTAAACTTCCTCAGGACTTTATTCTTCCGGCAAATCATGGGAGTAAACAAGCCACGTATGAATACATTTAATACAAAATCTTAGCGAATTCGATAGAATTCTATTGAGATTCAATTGAAATTCTAGTGAACTCTCGTTGAAATTTTATTTGTTTTTTGGACTGATTCTATGAGATGTTTAATTGGAAAAAGTCAATATATTTCGATTTTTGTATCTGAATATTCTCTTGGAATTTTTTCTATAAAAATACTTCAGCATGAATTTTCCAAGTTTTTTTCACTCGGTCTTGTAATGCAAAGCAAAGAAAAAAAGTTGGAAAATCCGTACCCAGTAATTTTAATAGAAAAAATCTGGAGAAAGAAAATATAAACAGAAAAATTGAAATCTATTGACTTTTGCAAAAAATGCGCAAAAGACAAATAGAATTTTAATTAAATTCCCACAGAATTTTCTAGCGAATTCGCTAAGGTTTTCTATGGATTTTTTTCATACGTATCATCAAGGATGTATAGACCTCACAGCGAAAATGATGACATTAATTTAATACATTTTACACTATTGTTCATATTATTGGAATAAATCTGCGAATTGAAAGATATCCAGACATTGATATGATGTCTTTCTTTATTTTTTTAACGAGGAAATCGTAATATATCCACTAAAAACCAGTATTTTTTCGCTGAATTACATTCCGCTCCGCGATTACCATCAGTATAATAAAATTTCTCACGATTTTCGAGGTAATTTTTCTTCAACTTTTCTCTCCGTGCAGTCAAAGCCAAGAATATGCACTTTTGCATGACAAAATTACAGTGAGATTAAACCGAAAATTTCAATCACCGTCTAAAAACCTCAAGCAACTTTCAATAACGACCAAAAAATCCTGAACCAACTCCATTAACACCCCTCCCCCATCCCGTCCTCCACAGGAACTCACCCCCCTCCAAGTATATCCCATCGGAGATTGACTGTATCAAGACCCAGTAGGATGAAGAAAATAGGCAGGGGGATTAATATCAAGAAAGTAGTGTGTTGAGTATACTCTCGACGTGAAGCGTCTGTCGGAAAAAATTGGTAATCATAAATGGGGAGCCTATAAAATCGTAATGGTAGCAGAAAAGAAATATGAATTTAAAAAATCTATATTCATTGAAGAAATTCCGGAAAAACGTATTCAACGATGAAAAATCCGAAAAAGTATGGGGATGGCAAGATTTTCGACAAAATTGGGATCTTGCTTGAGCAAAAGTTTCTAACTTTAACGAAGATTTAGATATCCTTAAGCAAGATAAATGTAACTTCCTATGATTAGAAAAATAAATTACATTGAACGAAGAGGTTAAAAATCAACTTTGCAGTTGGCTCAGTTCGTTCGCTCAAAGCGCAGTCTTAAAAAACTCAAAATCATACATCACACGTCCATGGAAATAATTCCCCGATGAACGCGACTCCATAAACTTCTACAAGACAAACTTACATTGAGATTAAAACCGAAAATTTCAATCACCGTCTAAAAACCTCAAGCAACTTTCAATAACGACCAAAAAATCCTGAACCAACTCCATTAACACCCCTCCCCCATCCCGTCCTCCACAGGAACTCACCCCCCTCCAAGTATATCCCATCGGAGATTGACTGTATCAAGACCCAGTAGGATGAAGAAAATAGGCAGGGGGATTAATATCAAGAAAGTAGTGTGTTGAGTATACTCTCGACGTGAAGCGTCTGTCGGAAAAAATTGGTAATCATAAATGGGGAGCCTATAAAATCGTAATGGTAGCAGAAAAGAAATATGAATTTAAAAAATCTATATTCATTGAAGAAATTCCGGAAAAACGTATTCAACGATGAAAAATTACGAAAAAGTATGGGGATGGCAAGATTTTCGACAAAATTGAAATCTTGCTTGAGCAAAAGTTTCTAACTTTAACGAAGATTTAGATATCCTTAAGCAAGATAAATGTAACTTCCTATGATTAGAAAAATAAATTACATTGAACGAAGAGGTTAAAAATCAACTTTGCAGTTGGCTCAGTTCGTTCGCTCAAAGCGCAGTCTTAAAAAACTCAAAATCATACATCACACGTCCATGGAAATAATTCCCCGATGAACGCGACTCCATAATCTTCTACAAGACAAACTTACATTGAGATTAAAACCGAAAATTTCAATCACCGTCTAAAAACCTCAAGCAACTTTCAATAACGACCAAAAAATCCTGAACCAACTCCATTAACACCCCTCCCCCATCCCGTCCTCCACAGGAACTCACCCCCCTCCAAGTATATCCCATCGGAGATTGACTGTATCAAGACCCAGTAGGATGAAGAAAATAGGCAGGGGGATTAATATCAAGAAAGTAGTGTGTTGAGTATACTCTCGACGTGAAACGTCTGTCGGAGAAAATTGGTAATCATAGACCACGGTGAGCGGCATTAAAGTTGGGTTGGGCGAGTTGGGGTAGGTGGAGGTATCTTCAAAGAGGTGCACTTAGATAATGCCCCGTCCCGAGAAGGCGGGCTGGATGGGGTTGGTACACGGGGGAGTGACTCCCTCCCCTCCGCTGCCCACCAACACCATTCCGATATTCGCGAGGGTGAGGAGGGGAGCGGGGGGGAGAGAGAGAGCGGTAGCGAAGAGGGGAAAGGGGGAGGTGGGGAAAAGGCTTTTGATGAAGGCTGGCACGAATTTGCTTGAGTAAAGGGTAATCCTATCACACGGTTCGGCTATGAGATCTTCCGTATTTCTGAGGGCACCAAAGTCTTAACGCGTGCAGTAGCGACTGATAGACGAGTACTCAACTTGACAAAATGCTGTTGATGCATGAGCAGTAAATGCTTCTTCGAAATTCAGGGATTAATGATGAAATAACAGTGAGAGAGGTTCAATGAAACTCGGCGGGTATTTATGTTGAGCTGTGGAAAAAGTTTTATTGAGTGGAGGTAAAAAAAGAGAGATTTGGCCTGTGGAATTACTCATTCAGAATTGTTAATGAGATTAGGTGGCCTAAAAGCGAGGGACCTTTGCATCCGAGGCATTTGCATCGGGGAGTTTTTAATGGCTGGCGGGGTGGTTAGTCAAAATGTGAAACATGTTTCATCTTTGAGTTGTAGTTTTGGGGAGTTTGATTGTTCCTTGCGTTGGGAGAAGTGATTTGCAGGGGAACGCATGAGATGGGACTGGACTGAGAGACGAATTAGGGCTCGCGAAAGCAATTTAGATTGTGGTCTTGTGAATTGTTGAAGTGTAGATTTTGTTATCGTTCAAATTAACGATTTTTTCAAAGTTTTTCTTCAATCGTTCGCTAATAGATGGATGGAATTGAATCTTTCTCTTTCAAGTGTAGGTATTATTGAGCCCTCTGGATCGCCATTAATTAAAATTTAATTCGTCCATTAGTTTTTTTAATTTTCGAATTTTTTCGAAAATCGGTTGTCCCGCGATAACTAAAAAAATTGTCTGAATGGATTGATTGATGGCTTAAATATTTGTTTGGATGTCCTTTTGAACGAGTTCGAACATGAAGGCGATAGCAATAATCGTTATTTTGATTTATTTGAAAAATTGCAAAAATTTTGTATTTTTTGAAAATCAGAATTCCGGGGGTATCTTTGAATATCTTGCTTCAAATGAATTCAATCATAGCTTAAAATGTTTGTTTCAATGCCATTAAGTCGAAGTTAAAAGATGATTACGATAGCTATACTGGTTGATTTGATTTTTATTATGATTGTTGAAAATTTCGAATTTTTCATGAATTTTTCCGAATTTTTCCGTTTCTTCAAATGTGATGTTTTAAATTCATTCAAGTATGTATAAATAAAATTTTTCTATTAACATTTTATCGAAGAGCGAAGGGGAGAGATAGGACCGCAAAGAAGACAATCGGTTGTAAAGAAGGAAGGGATAATAAGAATAATGATGATGATAACATTCAGCTAAGTTGAAAATCTAACGAAATTAGTTGAAAAGAAATGTTATTCAATGTAATAAAATGAAATAAACAATGGATCATACCTGATAGGAGGAAATGATGTGCGAAATAATCATTCGGAAGCATATTTCAATTTATTAGCAAAAATGACTGTACTATATGCAAAACAAGAGCAACTTCCCACTTGGTTTGATTGCCTCATTGATAAGTGAAATTTTCCCTTTTAAAAGTAAAAATTAGGGGAAGGATTTAGCACTCGACTCGCAATCAAATGAATCACCCCAGAATGTGATGAATCTGGGAATTAATTGAGATTTTTCCGGGGCTCAATGACGATTAATCAACTTTATCAAAAAGTTTTCTCACCTCATCGAGAGGACATCCTGCTGAGACAAGAAGTGCATGACTGTGGAGCAGCAGAAGCCTCAGGAGTTTATCTCTAACTTCAGCAGCTGGACTCGGGGGTGGTGGTCTTGACCTGTAGATTTGAATCTTTAGGGTTGCTACTGTGGTTAACTCCGCCAAGATTTCAGCTACTGTGCGAGTTGGTTCGTCCGCCACTTTCTCCATGGGCAAAGGTCGCCAGTTTTTCACGATTATACTGCCGCGAGCACTGGGGATAAGGTCTGTGGCGTAGCCAAGACGAACTAGGGCTTCAGCTACTAAATCCTGAGAAAATTAAAGTATTTTTCCCTTCATTTTTCATCGCGAGAAATTGAAAAAACAGATTTTTCAGGGAGATAATTGTTTTTTGAGATTGACCGACATTTTTTAAAATAGAAAATACGCGAAAAACTGACGGTCAAGACGGGAATTTTTGAATAACGGTTCTCACAATTTTTATATTCATGAGATTTTTGAAATTGCAGGTGACACTTTGCTACATTCTTGGTAGTTTTTAACTTAGGGATATCTAAATATTTTGGCTATTTTTCTCCGGTGAAACGCGTTTCTATTTTCGTAATCGAGCATTAGAGCTTTTATTTGCGCCCCATTTGATCCAGAGTTTCCGGACGTTTTTTTTCTGGCAATTTTTATTGAATTTTTCTCTCCGTATGAGAATTTTTTCTCCGTGCAGACCTTCTGATGGAAAGTATTCAGGCTCAATTGGGTGACGCTACTATTTCGAAATTCACCTGAAAGGGAACAGCCGCCGGAATGATGACGTAGGTGTCAATCTCCAGGTGAGGTCCTGGCCACTTGTCGCGACCTCCACTCACTCGTGTATCCACTATACTGTGAATGGATTCTACCACACAATGAACTGGCACGGGACTCTTTCCTGTAAACATAGCGAAACCACAAATTTATGATATCATTTCGTGAAATAATAGAGCGTTGATTCAGCCTTGTTTACACGGAGAGAAATTTTCTAGAAAAATTCTAGTGCTGTTAAGGTAAAATTTCTTGGTATTTCTGGTAAAATTTCTGGGGATTTCTGTGAAATTTTCACAGAAATACGGGGAAAAATTCACGTTTTCCCAATAAAATTTCTAGTGCCGGCACTGGATTTTTTTCCCGGCCGTCACTTTGCGCCTCTTTTCTCGTGCTAGCACTAGAATTTTTCTAAAAAATTTCTCTCCGTGTACCTCAGGCATCTCAAACTTCATAGAAAAATATATGTACACACGAATAAAAGTATGTATAATAAACAAAAAATATATGAGCTCAAGTAAATGAATATTTGGCAAAAATAATTGTTTTTCTCAGGGCAGTATAAAAACAATAAAATCACTTCAATTTTCCAATAATACTTTCAAAGAACCGCGTTTAAAAAAAAATGAATAAAAATCAAATTTCAAAAATGATAATGAGCAAAATGATCCGCGAGAACAATGAGTTATTTAGGTACCAGATATGCCTCATCTCCGTAGACGTTTATACCAGATTCAAATGGTACAATATAGAGGAGTATAACCCTAGGCGCTAAACGTATGCAGATCCACTCGTCGGTTAGCAAGCGGGCTGCTGGCACGAATCGCGAGACAATGGGGTAGCTAAGCGACCCGGTACAATGGACGCGATCCTTATTTAACCCTGACTCGAGACTATATGCCACTCGTGGCCGCCCAAACACACCGAGCAGAGTAGCACCGATGTTGGCAACCCCTAATCCCAGATTTTGCCCTGAACCGAGTGAAAGAAAGGGCGGGGGGGGGGAGAATACCTCAACCCGAGAAGTTGAAACCTAAGGCGGAGGAGGGATTCGAATCGAGGAAGTTGAGAAATGCACTGATCTGTCTTGAGAGAGATCCCGATTCTTCATTAATGCTGGGGTACATTCAAAATTCAGGGGGTGATGTGAAAAACCACACGCAGAGAAATGTTCAGTGAAAACTACCGAACAATTCACGTAATCCGCAATGGAAAATCGTTTTCCGGCAATTTTTTGGTCATAATAACACGCGATCTAGAGAATGTCGGTCATTTTGCATCTCTGGTTGCCTCACAATTTTCCCGGTCGATTCGACGACTGAATCCCCAATAATCCCATATAATGAATCTGCGAATCGCTGATCAATGTGATAACACGAAGTGATCGTCCGTCTAAAACGTTTAATCATCAGCTGACCGGAGTCCATTTCACTCCTAGCCGCATCCAACAATGGATTTAACGACGTTATTCAGCCCGCCTGATATTAGGACTTAATGCAGCTCCCGGACTTATAGTTCCACGCAGCCCAGCAGGATCAGAAAGCTTCACCATCAGAGAGTAGAATTAAGGTGTTCACTCGGGCATACCCCCAAGAAAAGCTGACCAGGACCCACAGGGCAAGCTTAATCCCAGGGACGTACAGTTTTCATTAAGGCGAGCCATCCACCTCTTTGCATCGTTAGAAGGATCTTGACTCGAGTCTGTTAATTTACATGGGAAAATTCTAAGTTCGGAGTCTGATGGGCTCCTGATATTTCTTCTTTCAATCATTACTGAACGAGATAAGTAAACTTGGAGCGAACTCGATTTTAAATAAAATGAAAAGTGAAAATGTCGACATTCGCATCAATCGAAGGGGTGTTGACGCCCTTTTATTATGCCCTTTTTCCTGTCAGATACGATATTCTTTTTTTCAATTAATTGTTTATAATCATTCTCATTGCAAAAGCAATACGACCGGTGAGAATCACACGTCCCAATTTATCAGCTGTTAAATTTTCATAATTTAAATAAAATAAAATAATTACAATTCAGTTCCTTCTAGAACACAATTTAGAGTGTGAATTTCTGGAATTCAATGTTTGTTGATACTCTGGTAATAGTGCGTGGCCTCACTGTTATCAATTTTTAGTTAGTTCACACGGTAAATCAATTAATCTGTTGTTCATTTCATCAATATAATTCCGTGCTCAGAATATTGTCATCTCGTGTTTTCAACCAAATTAAAAATTAAAACTTCATTTGGAATATCGAGTCACAGCTTCTTTTTATTCATATCAGGAATTTTGTATTTGCATATTAATATTATTTGATCAAAGTGGAAAGATCGATCATCATTTTCACTATATTGCATTCAGATTCTCGTATCCTTAACGTAAAAAATGTGAGATGCTCACATAATTCTAGCTATTAATTCTAATCAACTTTGTTCGAAGAAAACCTTAGTAAACGCGATATTAAGAAAGTAGAATTATTCTAGTTTCCTCTGACCTAAATGATTTGGACAATTATAGTTCGATTAGTCATGTTTCATATAATGGTATTGAATTCTCTTTTGTTTGTCAGGCGGGCTTCATGAAAATTCGACGCAAGGCGATTGTACTCATGAAAACCGCCTTACTTTCTCCATTCGTTCGAGATATCCGCCAAGGTTTTTTAGAAAGGATGCCCTAGTGCCCTGCGAATGAGATGTTGAAAGAAAAACTTAACTATTGAAATAGAAGCTCCTTTTCATCAAATTGTAATACTAGCTTAATAGAAATCGGAATGCGCTGGAGGAGGAGAATCGTAAAATCACAACATTAAATGAATTGATTCAATATTCATGACCAACTGATATTTCTGTCCGACAAATAAAAATTATCGAATAAAATATAACCAACCCCCAGCTAATCTACCGAACTTTGGTTGAAATCTTAAATCTCTGAAGTGGCAAAAAGCAGAGAGACATTTCTCATTTCTGGTGGTTATAGGAACAGAACCGCCCTATCGGACTTCCGTTATCTGTTACCCTCCTCCGCCCACCCTCCGCGGAATCACAGAGTGACGGAAGCGCTTTTCGTCTTTGACATTGCCCGTCCAAAGATAAGCCCTGCATACCAGAAAACCGAGTGAGAAACCCCTTCAAGACGTAAAAACTCCAAACCATCATCCTGCTTCTTCACCACTTATTTTTTTTCCGTTTCGCATCTTGTGACAACTCGTTACATCTCTCCCCTCGGGTACTTCGTATTTAATCTATTTTGCCGCTTGACGGAGGAGAAAAAATGATCGCCGATAATGTGATAAAGTCACGAATGTTTCGGTTTATGACTGGAGCTGCTGGAGGTGTCTGAATGTTCTCTGACAGGATGAAAGCAACGGGATTTCTTCTGCTGAATTCAAATGTGTTCCTTCACTCGCGAAGTTTTCTTGCGAAAGGACACACGTGGAAAATTGCTTTCGTCAGAACATTATTAATATATTTCAGTAGTGAAGTGGTAAACAGAGATAAGTCAACTTGTCTCCCAGTTGAGTTTTTGAGGAATATTTCTGAATCTAAGGGCGATAGCGAAATTTTCGTAATTACATTTGTTATAGTACTCAATCGGCTCCACAAAAAAGGTTATGACAAAAATTGTGCTATCTTCCTTAGATTCCGAGATATTGATTGAAAACTGGTCAATAGTTAAAACTGACTTATCTCCTTTTACCACTTCGCTACTGATTTTTGCTAATAAATTAATAAGTTGCTTTGGAATGAAATTTCTATGGCGATCTATTTTAAATTGAATTCAGGATTCATTGAATTCAACATTGCCGCAACGTTGACGGCCAACATTGCCCCAGCGTTAATAGTCAACATTTCTCCAACAGTACAATTTTTTAGCTTTTCCTGAATATCGGTTTCAAAATATATTTTATGTCGCGGCCAATTCTATCAATCCTCTGAATGGAACGCTTATTACAGCAGTACAATTTTTTTTGCCAAACGAATCGTCAAATAAGCAGGGATTTTTTCATTGGATTACATTTCTTTTCTTACGTTATTTTCTCGGTCATTTTTATTCCATTTTCCGCTCCGTGTACAGCTACAAAAGTATATATATAAATGTGAATTTCATTATGAATAGAAAGTTGTAATTTAACGGATTTTATAATCAACTAATTTTTCAATTGACCCATTTTATGTCGTACGAGAGAGAGAGAGAGAGATAGAAAGAAAGAATAAAAGTGATAAACTGTAATAATTGTAACACAAAATCGTGATGTAGTTTAGCTGGAGATAAGCCTCGTTAGCGAGAGGGAAGTCTCCCATCCGAAGTGATTTAAAAGAGCGTTGAAAAACAAGGGAACCCACCCAGATAAGTTGGAAAGAGCTGTTGGAGCTGTGGTTATCAGTAAAGGCCGACATCCGCCGGATCAGCCTCTGATACTGAAAACACCCACGATTTCCTTTTTTATTCAACACTTAACTCCAGAAATTGTGCAATACTGTAGAACAATCTGTTCATTCGTTGAAGGTTCATCAGTTCTCGATATTGGCGACCACAACACAAGAAAAGTTATTCTTCCATCGAATTTCTGTTTGGCATTTGTAGTTGTACATCAGAGAATTCTGATGAAATTCTCTTATTAACCCTTGAGTTGTCGAATAATGAGAGAATCCCCGCGGTTTTTCGATTTTTGCTTCCGAATGAAGTATTTTATTCGTAAAATAGTGAATTTCCATTTTTCTGTAAAACTTAAATTTCCAATCATTTCAGGATTAATCACTACTCGGAGAGAAAAATTCAATAAAAATTGCCAGAAAAAAACGTAAAAATTACGTTTCGAAATGTAATCCGCGAGCGAAGTAAAATTCAATAAAAAGTGGGAGTCGGAACTGAAATTGTACGAATCGCCACGTAAATTCTACGATTTGTTCCGTAAAAATTAACCGCTGTGGGGACAACAAGTCGTTCCGTAATTTTTCCCCAACGATTGAGAAATTTTACGGAACGAAACGTAGAAATAACTCACCAGCTTCATAAAAATTGTTGAACATTCAAGGATTTTTGATTTTGGAGGCATAATAAGTCGGCAAGTTTCTGTAAGATTTGACTTTTTCGGGAAAAATTACGTGACAATTTCGTACTTTGTTCGGT